CTCAGAGCTGACCCTCCAGTGGGTGTTCAGAGGTGCTAAATCGCTTAGGAGATTGTCCATCCTTCTGCAGAGCAGGTGCGATTTGAACTGCCTACCTTTGCATTTGCAGTGCAATTCCTCAGCACTAAGCCGCCAGACCTCCCAGCTGAGCCCCTAGAAAGTGGTGCACTATTCTCAGCATTTTGAGTAGATCAGCTCACTTAGTCCTCTTGACAGCTCTATGGTGAGGCCAGATCCAACTCTCTGCCCATTTTACAGGTAAGAGAACTGAGGCACATCTGATGACATACCACGGCTCCTGTTCACCTGGGCCTGCTCTAAGCTCCTAGCCAATCAGACATGTCTTTGCACTGGCTCCTTGAGCTACCTGTTTCCAAGCTATGTCCCTTCCAATTGGACTGGGCTTCCCAGGGCTGTTTCTCCTGCTGGTCCCCTTCACAATCCCTCCAATGCGAGCTCATCGGGCTGACACTCTCAAGTTTGCCTTTCTCAGGGCGCCCCTGGCTTGGGTTTCCATAGTCTGTATCTCAGGGAACTCCTGGCTTGGGTTTCCATAGTCTGCATCTCAGGGCACTCCTGCATTGGGGTTTCCATAGTTTGTTTTTCCCCCGGCTGGTTCCCTGCAGCATTCCCTGCGTCTGTCTTCCCAGCACCCAGGCTGGTGCCAGGCAGAGGCTGCACTCAGTAAGGGCTGGTGGATGAATGAACCCGTGTCAGCACAGTGTAATTTACAAAGCACTTTCGCATCCATTAAGTCCAGGGCTATTCCTCAGGAGTCCTCCCTGTCCTGCACGCGTAGCCCAGCACAGAAGTGGACAGTCATGGCCCTAAGACTCAACGGGCAGGAGAGGCATGAATGGACAGCCTTCGGTTCCCTTTTATTATTGGAGAGGTTAAGCATCTTGAGGACAAAGACGAGGCTTTATTCATCGTCATCTCCCAGTGCCCAGCCAATGCCTGCTACTCATTACAGACAAGAGAAACTCACACTTGACTCTGACTCAGGGTGACCTTGTGGGTCAGAACAGGACTGCACTCCACAGGCTTGTCAATGCTCACCCTCTTTTCTGAATTCTTATTTATTGTTGTTTGTCTCTGATTTTTTGAAGCAGATCCTTTGGTCTTTTTTTCCAAGGTGTCCTTGGGTGGGTTTGAACCATAATCTTTTCGTTCCTAGGCCAGCACTGAACTATTTGTACCACTTAAGAACGCTGGCCATGTAGTTGTTACTGAGTGAGAACCAACCCATAGCTGACCCTCCAGACAGTAAATTGCTGGCGAGGAGACTGCCCGTTCTTCTCCCAGAACATGTTTGTTGAGTGTGTTAAATAAACCCATTTCCCCTCTGACTTCCTCCTTTCTGTCTCCTAGCAGGGCCACAGGGAGAATTGTACTTCTGCTTCGGTTATACTTTGAGGTGCAGATTTCTTTTTAAAAACAATTTCAGATTTCTGATGGGAAAAGATTCCTATTTCAAAGAAAGCAATGCTCACAGAGGCGGGGTATCCTGCTATCCACAACGTCTCTGGGAAGTAGGGTAAAGGACAGATCAAGGACAAAGAGGCAAAGGGGTGAGTTGCTCGCTTACACCCCCTAAGAAGTGCTGGTGGTGCGGATGAATGAGCCCGATTGTGTCAGAGCAAGATGATGCATCTTCTTAAGAAGAGGAAGGGCAGGCAATCAGCCAGGATTCACTTTCCAGGCCTACAGCAGACAGGCCTAGAAGATAATCAATAAGGCCGAGGAGGAAACACATGCATGACCATGTGGGATCAGCAAGGCCGCATTTGCCCAGGCATCAAGTTTAGAAGCCAGGAAGGAATACGAAAGGGCAAATGGAAATGAGAAATATAGTCGTGAAGTGGGAAGAGTGCTGCTACAGGCAGGAACTGTAGTCAATGTCACAAAACAAAACGTGTCTGGTTTGTTGAATGGAGAACCCACTTGCTCTGTCAATTGTCACTTAAATGGTAACAAAAAAAGTTTAAAAAAAAATAATGATTAAGGGAGCTATGGTGGCCTAGTATCAAGAAGCTGCACTGCAATCCCAGAGGTTGTGGTTGTTGTTGTTAAGTGCCGTCGAGTCGCAGGCTACTCGTAGCGACCCTATGAAGGAGAGTCCTCCACGCTTGGGTGCCTTTCTTCCTCTCTCCAGGTTCATAGGGTTTCTGGAGGCAAGCTATTACGGAAGTGGATGCCACTCCACATGGTTCAAATCCACCAGATGCTCTGCTGGAGAAGGAGGAGCAATCTCCTCCTGTACCTGTCAGATCCAATTTGACGATACACACACAAAAAATAATAAAATAAAAAATTATTAAAAATAAGTCAGGGAAGGGACAGCTCTGAGTTCTGAAGCCAGTGTCCCCACCACTCCGTCGTCAGCCCTATCTGAGTATCCTGACAGGTGCCCATACAGAGCCTCCTAGCCAGCTCTCAAGTGTCCCCAGACCACCAATGCCTACTTGAGGGATACAAAGCAAAGCACCCCATTCATCCCATGGCTGGCTGTGAGTTAAACCAACCCATCACTGCCAACACGCCATGACCAAGGGCCAAGCAAGCCTTCACCTCAGTCACCCCCCCTCCTCACTCCTGGGAGCGATTCCAAACCGAGCTGTTGCTTTGCAATGTACAGGGTCCCTAAAGGACTGCCCCTCAGGGTAGAGCACCAGGTCCTTCCCCGGAGGAGCCCCCAGTGGATTCAAACTTGCAGCTTTCCCAGCACGTAACCACGGTGCTACTAGGACTCCTCTGGGAGTGATTGTTGTGTATCAGAACCAACTCATAGCTGGCCGTCCAGCTGTTTCCAGAGGCAGTGATTGGCACTGGAATAAGTGAGACTGGCTCAGGATAGGGCAGGGTTCCGAGCTGCTGTGCATAGGGTCGCTATGGCTCGCAGCCGACTCCACGGCCCATAACAACAGCAACAACAAATGGCACCACTTGGGAAGTGATTGTTTTGTGGTTAAGTGTCATTGAGTCAACTATGGCTTAGACCCTATGAACAACGGCTCTGAACCTTGTTCTTATTCTGAGCCAACCTCACCATCTCTCACACAGCTGAGTCCCTTGTCAAAGTCACTGTCAATCCATCAGAGTCCTAGGACACCTGAAGGGGGCTGAACCTCGGGAAACTGCTTTCTGGAAATGCTCTCCGGCTGGAGTTTTACTCCTGGGTCTGCTTCCAGGCAGGTGTGCACCCCTCTCCAGGCCCCAGCTCCCACTCCAGCCCTCGTCCCAGCTTCTCTGCTCCAGTTCCAGGCTGGGACGCGCAGCCCCGAACTTCACTCCAGCTGCGGAGTCCGGAGCGCCCTCTAGCGGGCGCGGGGCGCGGCCACGCTCACCCTGCAGCCGCCCGAGCGCCGGGAGCAGCGGTCCGGACCGCACTGGACCGCGCAGATCTGGACACCGAGATGAGTCAAAGCGGGTTCTTTCTTTCTGGGGGCTCGGGGAAGGGTGGTGGCACCCGTGCCTGTCGGCAGTGGGCCGATGGGGCGAGGCCAGGCAGCGGCCACGCGGGTGGAGTCCTCTCCATCCCTGGGGCCCTGGCTTCGCCTCGTGGACGTGCCCACAGGTGACGGTCATGTGTCCCTCCCTCCACCCCCTCAGGGCCGAGTCCAGCCCTCAACGTGGCGACGGGGTGTCCCCAGCGCTCGGCTGGCCGGCCTGGGCCGCCTGGGGCGGCGATCGGAGCTCAGGCTGGTCCAAGTGGGGGCGGGGAGAGGTCCCCGCGGGGTCCGAGAAAAGGGAAGGGGGGACCTGGGAGCGGGTATCGCTCGGCCTCCTAGAACTGCCTCCCCGGTCCCGCCGCGGCGCCCCCGCCTCTGCCAGAAACTCGGC